AAAAATCGAGAAAATCAATAAAAGTAACCGATAATTCTGAAAACTAATATTGTATTCGGAATTCCCATGCTCACTTCCCCCCTGTGCCAACTCCTAGCCCTGTAGGTGAACTCTGCGAAAAAATCGATAAAAATCGGTAAAATCGACATCGATCGATAACGAAAAGTGGACTGTGACACCCGCCGGGGCCCGAAGTGTATGTGTGCCAAGTTTGGTCCGGATACGGCGGAGCCGGGTAAGCCAGCTAGTATAGAGATATGTTGGCTGGTCCGAGAAAGGCTTTAGTCGTCAATGTGTTAACAAGTTCGTAAATGCGTTCGAACGCGTTCTGATTGATTATTATAAGGTGTTAGTGAAGGACATGTCTGAACTCGTATTGTTTAACGAGCTTGAACATGTTCTGTCACGACTTGCTATCAGTAAGTCATTTAAAACACCTTAGAACGCATTCATGAGCGCTAATCAAAAGTACGCAAAGCGTGCTCGCTCTCTTAGTCGGAGAATGAATGATGGCTTCATTACGTAGTTGTCCAACGCGTGTTTGACATACTTGTTAGGAAAAGGAAGGGTCTCTGTTATCGAGGCGCTCATCGAGGCGTCTCAACATATGAGAGTTTGCAACAAGCAAGATTATTGAATTGGCGCACTATTGCTGAGGATTATTCAGTAACATTGCAGCAGCTCGGAGTCTCATGTTGCCAACATTGGCGATGGCACAGATGGCAGAGGACACCACTGCAGTAGTGTGCAAGAGAGCATTGTAGAGGCCGGTCCCGGACGAAGGCAGATGGGGTATCATCACAAAGAGGAGGAAACGCAATTGTCGAGCATTCGCAGGAGCGCATGAAATGTACGTAGAGGTCGGTCGACGCACGCACTGTGTTCGCGGGCGCACATGCATATGGGCTCAATTTGAGATGTGAGTTGTGTCGTAAGTTGTAATGATCTAATCCCAAATTTGCGTTTTATTGCTCAAAGGCAGCGTCCATTTGAAATTTTTGCCTCCCATTTTTGTCATTCTGGGGACCTTCCTTGGCCCTGATTACGGTTATAAAATTCAAATTGGTTCAAATTGTCCAAAGCCCTCAAAAAGTGCGAATTCTGGAATCCCGATTTCAAGGGCGCGGACGAGTTCAGATAGTTCAATCCTTTGGCTTGCCAGGGGGAAGAGCTGCAACTGCATGGGTGCAGCTGCAACACTTGCGTGAGCACTCGGTCATGGGGGTTTGTGGTACTCGAGGCGGTTTGTGATACTTATAACAAGCCCGTACTTCTTTTCAAAGGCCACATTAAAGATCGGACTAAGCAGATAGGATACACCTGTTGCCCGCTTAGCTATATGCTAACCTGGGTGGGTTCGATTTTTCGTGGACGCTACCTTCAATAAGTTGATTAGAGTCTGTCACAGAGATTACTTTGATGATTTATTTAGAAGATTCTATCTAGAGTTAGCGTAAATAAATAGACTTATACTTAGGCGATGAATTCTTGTAACTGGGAGAAGCTACAGCAACTGTATAAACAGCGCTGCTAATTGTAAGCTTTTCGACAAATAAGGTTGTAATCATCATCTTTATTTAGGGTGAATTCATTTTTTCATTTCAATAGATCTCATTCATCGTACTTTAGGCATTCTTCTCTTTTCTTCTGCAGTAAAGTAAGCCATATCGGGAACAATGCGAAATTTCGCCACGGAGTTGCGCGATCAGCGAATGCTCAGGCTGCGTTTAGAGTTGCTCGTGTGCCAGCGCCGTGCTAATGCCCACGTAGACGCATATTGATCAATCAAGGGAGCTGGCACGGTGCAGCAGGGAAGCCCTGAACGCAGCCTTAGCACGGGCAGGCTGTCAGTCAAAGATCAAAGAGAAATCTTTGAAACTTTGATCTTTTCATGATAATATAACTAATTTCGCGACATGCGACTAACTGCTGTGAGGTGCGCGCACGACGCTTATTTTTGGCCTGCTCGCGGTAGATATAGAATGTACATGGGTTTTTGAAGGTTTCCATATGAGCTCCGAATAGAACTTCCTTGTCTGTGAGCTGAGGCATGGTAGCAGCCAAGCACCAGGCAAAACCAGAATATCTATAACATAGGGCCTGGCCATGTGCATTACCCGATGTAGTAGCTCATTGGGGTAGTCGCTATATAATGAGATGTATAAGAGAGCCTATAAGCAATTTTTCGATTGTTGCGTAGAGCTGTGAACGAATACCTGCATCATAGCGTATATCATAGTGTTGATCATTGTCAATACGACATAAACAGTTACTACTGTTTGTCCTCTCAGTTGCTGAGAAACTTCAGTGCAGGAAATCCTCAAAATAATGTATACGTTGCACGCAAATGTCAATATTCCCAAAGTTACAGCTGCGACTGCGGTGGTGAAATAGAGACTGATCTGTAAAACAGCATCGTCTTTGTATTTTTCCTTTTTGACTGATGTTCAAATATTGATACTCAGATTCGGCAAGAGTCGGGAAACAAGAATTATTTCGCTGTCGTATCAGACTAACCAAAACACACCTGCCCTTTTTAGTATTGAAACTGTTTTACAGTCGGAATATTTTTGTTAACATGTCTGAGTACTAAAGTTCTGTAAAGCGAAAAGTTTGAAGACCGTTCCAGGATCTGTGAAGATTTACCCCGAAAAAAAATCAATGCCCACCAATTATAGATCAAACAGCAATATGTGGTATAGATCGAGGCTTTTTTTTTTCGATTGTTTGCCACTGCACACCGAAAATGGGGTCCGATGACCCCTTACTATCTCCAGGCTTCCTTACGTTTCTCTTTTCTTTTTGGAACTAATCTGAAAGTTCGTGTAGTCAGTCCACAAACGAGTTATGTTCCAAGATTTGGTTACTGTTCCGCATTCTAGCTTTTGCATTTTTTGATTGGTTGGTTCCTATGAATGCTTAGAGAAGGAGAAGATTTACTCAATTAATCTTTGCAGATATAAGAATAGCGAATGTGAACCAGAATACTTTCAGACCATTTAGTGGAAATAGGGGATTGTTTCATTGAACGAATAGATTGTGTGTAGGAAGTTTTCACGTACCGCTTGACTTTTTAATAAAAACTCACGGAAAACACTTTGACATAAACGATTGCTGGTCGTCCTTCGACCAACATGATGAAGCTTTTACATGGAAACACGAACCAAATAAATGGAAGAGGTACCAACATCATGACGATAATTATTTTGCCAAATTGTTTTTCCCAAATCTGTAATATGTGGAATCATGCTCGCGTAGTAAGACTTGTCTTTGAATGAAGACAAGTGAAATAAAACCGAGTCCGGCTCAGCTGACTCAAAAACAAGCTGGATGTTTTCCTAGTGAGAAAAATAACATCAATCACATTATCGGGGGATGCCTTTTAGCGCCCAACGTTGCGTAAATGAGTGACGTCTTAGCATGTTTCGGACCGATGCTGCACCTGGTGCAGCAGCGACTTTGAAGGTTCTTCTTGAATTTTACATGGGTCTTGTCGTACTCCAAAGATACCAAGTTGAAGATCTAGGCTCCTACTTTTGCGAAAACGTATTGTGCTATGCGCCGCTATTCGTTTAGGATAAATGACAACACGAACAACAGTTTTATCATAGTGCGGCAACGCTTGCTTGCTTCAATATCGATGTGTACCGTATGCAACATAGATGGAATTGGTTACCGTTTCGTATCGAGATCTTTTTTCTTACCTTTGAGAAAACAAGGCCGTCCTTTTTAGATGACATTAAAGACTTCAAATTTATTCGATAAAGACTTCAAATTTATTCGACCTTGGATATGGAGCTTGCTTGTTTGACATGGGTCACAGATATGGTACTCCTTCGAGGGATTCAGTCACTTCGTCGGCTAACGAGCAAGCGTACATGCTTATTCGCAGGGCGCGAATTGCGATCCAAAATCTGTTAAAATCTGTTCAGGCGAATCTGGACACATGAGTATCTCACTTGGAAACTGATTCTGGGATCCTAGCTAAGACATTGCTCAAGCGGCAGCGCGAATGATGCACCTGCAGCCGAGATATTCGTTTCCAAACCAAACCTTGCTACCTTCTTCGCGAATGATTTGCATCGGGTTGCTTAGCGCGGGGACACACTGCCCACTTGAATGGTCCCGCGCAAAGTGCTTGCTGATGCAAGTCGTCTGCTGAATACGATGCTGGGAACAGGATAGCTAAAACTCCACATGTCCTCACCTTGCTCGGACTCTGCCTTTTCGGCAGAATGACAACTTTAATATTCATCGTTCTCTGTTCCCCTGGATGAGCTAAGTCCAAGACTGTGCTTTGCAGCTTTAAAAGATGTCAATAACCCGCTTTTCCAGACATGAAACGTGCTATCTGGGCGGAACGCGATTTGCCTTCTAGAGGGCGATTGGCTCGTGGGTACGGTGCGTACACTATCTCCACTCACGAGCCAATCGCGCTTTAGAGGGCAAATACGCGGCCCGCCCAAATAGCGCTTTTCACGTCTGGAAAAGCGGGTTATTAATATCTTTCGAAGCTGCAAAGTACAGTCTTGGACTTAGCTCTTCCAGGGGAACCGAGGACGATGAATATCCCAAAGTTGTCATTCTGCCGAGCAGCTGCCTTTGAGCACCTCAAACCTCCTCCTCTCCGCTTAGTGGCAGCTAGAGGAGTCGTTCTTTATTTGCGAAGTCAATTGTGACTTTGCAAAAAAAGAACGACTTCAAAATTTCCTGGTGGTCCCAACCAACCCTTTACTTCTATACAACATTTTCCTGCGCCCTTACTTCTATAATCCATCCTGCCTCCATTATTTTCGTAAGCGCCATTTCTCTTGTAACTTTATAGAAACAGCAACTATAACTTACAGACTAAGTCACTTATTTCTGCTTCACAAAGGTAGAAATGATAGTCGCTGACTTACATCAGGTGCATGGTAAGGTGCAACCACTAAACTTAGACGTTGGAGAGCCATTGCGAAATTCAGAGTGAGTATAAAAATAGGGCAGTATGCTGCTATCACGTTGTAAGGTGTGAGTACAAATGTTTGCTCCGAAAAAGCGCTCAAGATCTGTTCACACCAGTACCCCAGCTGCACGAATCGTTGAGGAAAGTAATGAATTATCCAGTAGATGCTGCTCTGAAAAAATCCATATAAATGTGAAAAACTGGCAAGGTTTTGCATGCGTGAGCTTTGAAAGGTTTGTTGGGGCGTTGCATGAGATATACTTATAAATTGTATAACTTCTTTTAATTCCGTTGAGTCTGGGAATGCGAGTTCATCGCAGTGTTAGAGTTGCTCACCGAGACTGCCTTGCTCGCAAATATTCTGTAGAAGGTGACATCGAAATCTCTTCGGCATTGCTTCAAGGCCATGACATTCAGTATGTAGATAATGACAGTGAGAAGACCGTAGAAACCTTGTATGGTGAAAAGAACAGTACGAACAGATTGATCTTTTGGTACACAATAGGATGAATTGACGACTTCCATAATGTTCACAGAGCTGCTAGTAAACCATAGGGAAATCTGAAAAGTAGTCATTAATACTTGCGATCGGGTACGAGCTGATTATCCCTTTTTAGCATGTCATGCGTGAGTGACACAAATCGCAATCGAAGGCAAGAAATTGTTTAATCAAAAGCTTGAGGACTTCATTTATTTGATTCATACCCATTTATAGTGGACCATCTACTTCAGCAAGCACGCCTATGGATGGAGATATTTTATTGATCAACTCCTTTTCAATTTTTTTTTCAATTGGCACCAAATTCTTGGCAGTTTTCAGATAACAGTCAGTGGTTCTATCAACAAGCATGAGGTAAAAGCTTTGAGAGCCGATATGAGGTCGAGAACAAACAGTTGTCTTATCAGTGGTCATGCTACTGCTGCTACAAGAACTTTTACTGCCCTTACTGTTTTTTGTAGTCTACAAACTCTTTAAGCGGAAATACTAACATATGTAGTTCACAAAACTTTACGTTAATCACCTTAAGTTTGTAGTCTACAAACTCTTAACGCGAGTTCTTAGTCGTAACGAAAGGAAAACGGTGAAGGATTTCATGAGAAGCCATATCTTCTAATTAATTATCATTGCAGAAAGCGGGAACCTCTCTTGTAGAGATCAGGAATATAAGGAACAGTAGAAGCACGGACTGAAACCTGCTATCTATGATCGTCTTACATAGTCATGCGAAGGCCGGCGAAGAATGATCGAAATTCCTTTCGCCTATCATTTTGTACCTCCCTCAATGTTCTTACTGTTGGCTGTATGGCTTAATAAGTATGTCGATCACAAGGGAAGGATACTTGGTCGAAGGCGTTTCCAAATGAAATATATACCATCTTATCGAGCATGAAACGCTGATTTCAAATCTGCCTTCAGCATCTGCAAAGCATTTCTGGGAGGAAGTTGTGGGATTTTTTTTTTGAAGCAGAAATTCAAAGTTGCGTCTACAATAAAATCATTCGAATTCATCATTTGAACTGTAGTCTGTGAACTCTAATGGAACCATGATTACTGCCAGGACGCTATATGCAATTGATATCCTCAGCTAGTAAACTCATGAATCATTCCCCTTCTAGGCCCAGAAGCCCGGATAGCTGTTTTTACCATAGCCAGACTCTTGAATTTTATAATAGAAACATTCCCCATAACTCTCCTTCCAGAAGCGCTTTGTAGGTAACAAAAACAGACTTGGAATCAGCGTTCCGTGCTCTATAAGGCAGTACGTAACCAAATTTTGTATAGAAACGCCATCCCTCCCTTGTTAGTAACCAAAGAGCTTCAGTCCCAATGAGTGTTCAATAAAAACTCTGTTCATTTGATTGTTGAATTACGGGGAAATTTCCTGCTAGTATTTGTGTTTACTATGAAATCCAAACATTCAGAAAATATTATGACAGCCAGAATGGTTCGCGCTCCAAGGAAACCCCGAGTCAGTAATGCAAGGTTACGCTATTACATGAAAATCTACCGACTCGCTGCTTCCCCTGATGGTATGTAAAATATTCGACATTAGCTTCCATTTCTTGATGTGTTCTGCTTTCAGAATCCTGGCTAGCTGCGAGTGACAATCTTTGCCGCATATGCCTGTTCAAGCTGTCCGACTGCCTTTCATCGAGTGCTTCCGATGAGAGTCGGCGCCTTTCTCACTTCATTCAACTACAGGATGCGGTTTATGCCATGAAAACGGTTGATCAGCTTCTGGTAGGCTACCACTCCTTTATGGCAAGGTTCAGAAGAACTGAACAGCAGCGATAAGAGTGCTTATTCACTTGGGCTTCAACCATACCTGCAGCGATCTCATCAAATCGCGTTCGCTACACGATTCAGCAGTTCGCTAGATGTTTACAAACTCATCGCGCGCTGCTTCTTAAATGCATAGGCACACCTTTTGTAAGCTGACGCAAACATGCAACATCTGGGAAGTCAGTAGTGCGCTTCTGGAGAATTTTGATCAATCGTGGAAATGCCAACTGCAGCAGCCGTAACCGCGCGAGGAATGACCGAGGCCTTACATCTTGTTGAACAGAACGGTGTTATAAAGTTGCCACTACTCTTATGAAAACTACTTTCAAAGGACTACAGTTTCTCGATGCCCAACACATTTATGAAGCTCTAAATTTGTCGATTCCCGATTAAACTTTACGGGAATCCGGCAGTTGTTCCAGATACCTATGCGAATCTCTAGCCAGCGTGTGCCACAGTCGGGAGAGTTTACCCGTAATGCAATTACTGTAGACCAGGACCAGGCATAGAAATGAACTTAAATTTTCCAGTCCAGTTTTCGAGTCCAGCGTTTACGAAGCTGCATACACTAGGCTTATTCAAATAAAATTTACAAATTTTCTTGATTTTGTGATTTTTCCCAAGAAGCCAAAATTTTTCATGTAAAAGGTTACTGGCATGCTGATTACGATTATGGTAGTTTCGGGATCTGATGGGATGAATAGTTTGTTGGACCCAACGTTTTGGCAGTAATAACAAGAAATAGTGCTTAGATTTTACAAACAAAGAACATATTTTACTTTGGAAAGCTTCGGAATCTGCTATTGACTCCCCATATAAATTTCTTGATTTTTGCGAAAATGCTTTCATACTACTATTGTGGTCCTCACCGTAGAACCGTATTCTGCGAATGATTGTGATTTTGTAACTACTACTGTAATCTTATCGTACAACTTCAGAAAGGAAGCAAATGTTGTTTTAATAATTAGCATCTTCTATAACTCTCCATATTAACTTCTGCGTACATGTTCTTCTGAAATTCTTTAAAAGGCTATCATTTCGGACCCTACGACCTATTGGTGGGTCAATCTCGACATTATAAAATACGCTTTACGGAATGGAAGACGAGAATATGGCTGGTCGCGAATTTGTTGGGAGTTTGCATACTCAAAACGTTACAATCCGTTAATTACGTTAGGTGCTCATAGGCATGGTTGAAGTTCCAATGCAACCAATAAATGGACTGCCTCACAGATTGAAAATTCGCATTGAACTCTGTCATTTTTGTTTTCCCACTGACCCAAGTATCATTAATTTTTGGAATCAAAATTTGCAGGTATGCGGCGATACGACTGGGCGTGTTTTCGCATACGATTGGGCGGAACTTGTGAAGAGGAGCGAAGTTGCACCGAAAACTGTGTTCAACTTTGGAGTTTTTGATGGTGATTGTTCGAAGCATGTATCGTCGCAGTTCTTCTCGAAAACCAAGTTTTTTAGGCACTCAGCCTGCAGTTGCTGGTCCACATGAGGTTAATGGTCTATTGTATTGCGCTGAGACGGAACGTCTTTACATAGGTGGCGCAGCTGATAATGCGGTCAGGGAATACGACATAAATGTTCCGAATAAGGTAATATCCCTTTGAGAGTTATCTTTCTGATATCCTGACTTTTTCAGTGTATCCGCTCATTTGCGGGTCACACAGCGACAGTTTGTGAGCTTGCGTCAGCTTCACACGAACAACTGCTGAGTGCTTCGGCTGATGGCACAGTCAGAGTTTGGGATGTCCGGAAGAAAACAGGAGGACATGTGATCAAAGTTGCTGACGAGGCAAAGGTTGGTCCGCATAATAATTTCGTTAGGTTGTTGCCAAAGTCTGTCGCATCAACTTCAAAGACTCGAGGGATTTGCACGTAATTGATTCTGCTGAACTGAGGAGACCATTCCCTTTCTTGATAGTACCTTTGCTGCTATTTGAGAGTAAGCTTTCGAGATAGAGGCAAAAGAATAAAATGTCAGCCTCGGTCATTTGAAGTTAGGCTAATTGTTGAGGTAGCAGCAAGGTTATATCACAAGAAAAAGATTCCCTATATCTAAAGAATCAATCTTGTACAATCGTCGAGACAGTAAAAGATCATGTTCTTTTAGAGAAAAGTCAATAGAACTTTTGTACCAACCTAATATACCTTTTGACTCAACGGCTTGGCTGTTGGAAGGCGGGGCTTCGTGGCCTAGTTAAGGCTAGAGAATGATCAAAGAGCATGAGCGCGAGGGAGACGCCGACTGCGTCGCGAGGCGAGCGGCCTTAATTAGGTAGCAAGGCCCCGTCTTCGAGCCGCCATTCCAGTTGAATCGAAGGCATGCTGTCGTTGTTACCAATTGGGGAACACCATTCTTGACAGATATAATGAGTGTGATCGGCTAGGTGGCTACACGTGCACCAGTTGTCAAGAAAAATTAGAAAACTTTTTGGTCTGTTAAGTGAGACAAGATAAAAGCAATGTGATGAAGAAATTTGAGTGCTATGCACAAACAAGAAAATGGAATTGTTCTTCAATGTTGTGGCTTTTCTGAAGTCTCGCGTAAAGTCCTGGGCATACGTCACGCGATTCCATTCTCGACGCGATTTGGCAAAACTCCAGTTGCTCATAACCCGCCAAAAGGGATTTCTGAAGGTACGGAAGATAGAACATTTTACAACCTAAGACATGCATGTCTGCATTTCGGGTCTGTCAGCTTTGAATTTGAAGACATCTGGCAAAATGCCAGATCGCGTGGCGGCTGAAATCGTGTGAGTTATGCCCACGGCCTAATTCCCGAGGATATTCTTCAGCCAAAACTGAAAGCCTGAGTCTCTTCCCTTTATAGTAAACTTAGCGCAGAGATCAAACGAAAATAGCGATCAGAGTGAACAAAGAAGTGATCAAAGAAGTGGCAAATTGTACATGAGAGGAGCTAAAAACGATTAAATGAGGCATTAGAAGTAAAGATGGTTTCAGCGAGAAGTCAAAATCTTGACGCTAACACCATCTCTGTCATTGTATGTGAGTGCTTCGCACTTGCTATAGCAATCAACGTAATGGAACTGTGATGTATTTCGCGATACAATGACAGGAAGTGCAATGAGTAGATTTATACTCCGAGACGCTACAGTGGTTATACGGGGTATGCAGGGTGGTTTGCTTCACATTCTCATAGTTTATGTAAGTAAATTTTGAAAAACTTCTTTTTCCCTTTCCCTGGGTCCGCCACTGGGTTGCATCAAGAATAAATGCATGAATGAATGTAAATTTGAAAGGAAAAAATGAAAACAGGGAGCGAAATAGGTAAAACCATAATACAGGGTGTCCCAAAAAAATTGTGGCTACTGTTTGATTGTTGAATAACTCTGTTCGCAGAGAATCTGTCGAGAAGGTTCAGGTACCACCTTGTAGAGCTGGCTTAAACCTAGATAGATTTACAGCATGGAGCGAATTACGCGTCTTTTTTCGTTACTGTAGGACTACGGCAGTAACTCGCAGCATATGGCGTCACTGTGAGATAGGAAAAAAGTTTTCAAAAAAATCTGAAATTTGTGTAACAAGAATTCATGCGTTCTGATTTCACTACGTAACTTTTTGCGTGTTTGCAGAGCTTTTTGAATGACTAACGAAATTTTTAACGAATATCAGAAATCCGTCGTTAGGTTATATCTGGCCTAAATCATTTAAAAAAAGCATTAAGGTGAAGTGCGAGTTTCATACTTGGAATCAGCGACCCTGATTAACTTAGCGTAAGAGTTTTCAGTTTTTTGGTCCTTTTTTAGCGGTAAAATATGACCTTGATGACGCAGTACCCTGTTCGAAGTTCCTATCTATACAGTAATGAAGAGAAATTTTGTTCCATATCGTTTTCTAAGTCAAAGCCAGCTCTACAAAATGATACCTAAAGCTTTTCGAAAGACTCAATGAGAAGAGAGTTGTCAACAATCAAAGATTAGGCACATATTTTTGGGACACCCTGTAGATTTACAAGAATGCATTATTGACAGACCTACAGAAAGCTCATGGTTTTGTTTTATTCGCATATTTAATGCGAGTATTGTTTTGTGCTTCATACATTTTGATCTTGCATCATTTTGTACTTTCGCTTTATTATGTGGGTAAATTACCAAATGCTCGTAAAATTGTGACGTTCTTACGCGTGAATTTGTTTTATGAAGTATCTATAAATTGCGAAAGCACTTGAACTTGCTTATAGATCGTGTCTCCACAAATTCCCTTTTGGGCATTAAGGGAGTTATCGGGGTTGCGAACTTTATAATATTTTGTTTTGCAAGTTTCGCGATCAGACCTCGCATATGGTAGTGATTTTGAATGTCTTGCATTGTTTCTAAATTGATTCCGAATTACAACGGCGAATCAGCCTAACTTCTCTCAGAAATGATCATTGCGAATGCTATAAACCATAATGAAGTCTTTTGCAGTTCTATGCATAGTCGAAAATTAGCAGCGAATACGAGGGAGAGTTCTTTTGCGAGTTTCTACTTTAATAAACGTAACTATGTCCGTAGAAAAACAGCACAAACTCTGCTCATGTGTAGACAGGGGTTGGGAGCAGTGGCTAGCTTAGGATTTCACTAAATGCCTTCACAGGTTATTGCAAAAACAAATCAAAACCTATCTGCTTGACTTTTTCAAGGTGGTAAAAATGCACTTTTCTACTCTTAATTTTCTCATTTAGAAAATTCTGAAACTTCCCCTGGCTTTTCAATGGGAATGTGCTAGACCCAGTCTTGCTGCATGAGCAAAAGTATTTATGCGACTCATAAGGACTATAACGTTAAAGTTTACACTGTAATGTTTCAGATTCAAAATTCTTGAAAATTCTCTTGATGTGGATTATGTGGCACAAGTCCTCAGCAAACAATATACACTCGATGTCCGATTGTCACTGAATCTCGGCATCGTGTATAACTTTGAGGTTGTTCTCTGAGCCTTGAGCCAAGAATAGCGAGTACCACCGACTGAGATAATGCCCTCATTAGTAAACCAGCCTCTTTTATATGCATCTGACCTCGACCTCATAGATCAAAAACAAAACCACAGAGGTTTTGGTATACAGCCAGTTCGCTGGTCACAGCAATACATTCGTCTTTGCGGTTTATTTTTGGGTTCTTGGAGGTTATCCAGAACGCCTCTAGTGTTTTCCGCGCTATCACTTCAGTTTCTCGCAAGAGAATCTTGAGATGTTTCGAAAACTCGAGCTTCATGGCATTGCTTGCGATGGGCGCCGAGTGTCGTGAATATTTAGGTTTTTTGAAAACCATCCAGATGCTCCCTGCTCCTTACGCACAGCGGCTCGCCTTCTCCTATGTATTGGTCCTCGCATAACAAACACGTAATAATATAAACAGAACAGTTGCAGTACGGTCCTCTAACTGTGCAGAAACTCTGCCGAAACTCTGCTGCATGCGCTGCGACCGCCAGCATACGGTTTTTAGCGGTGGGGTTGAAGATTTTTACCGTTTTCAACGGTTTGCTCTCAGATTTCGCTCATTTTGAATCATTCCCCTACTCCGCTTCCACTTCTGATGGGAAGAGTCTCGTTTTTGGAGCGAGGTTGGCGAATGAGCGTGGTTTTCCTTGCATGTGTCCGGAAAAATGTTCTTCGTGCGCTCGTCCATTCTCTCTTCATTGTTTTTGTTCAGATCTACTTTATCTGTTCCAGGAAGTTGATGCGTTCTCCAGCTGTATTGGAAGACACAGAGACAGCTTTTAGAACACTAGAAGTAGGTCTGAAAAAATAACAAAGAGAGAATGAACGAGCGTTTAAGAGCACGTATTCCCGGATATATGCAAGCAGAATGGCGGCCGTTCTTAAACCCTGCCTCAAGATCGAGGTTCCGTCAAGGGAAGCGGACTAGCGGAATGAGACCTAAATGAGTGGAAATTAAGAGAAGTTAAAAAGCCCAAGTATTCCCAACCTTCGCTTAAAACCGCATGCGGGTGCTGTAGCGCATGCAGCACGGTTTTCACGAAGACAGTGCTGAACTGTTACGGAGCTTCCGGATAAGTATGAACCCTCTTACAAGGAGGGTCGCGCGAACTCGAACTGACCGATAACTACAATATGCATATGTCACGATTTGAAGCGCTGATCTTAAATCTGCTCTCCTCTTCTGCAGAACGCTTCCGTAAAAAATTTACGAATTTTTATTTGCGTGAACTTTGCAAAGCTGTAAGTAACCAATATGATCAAGACCTAAGCATTTTGGACTCTACCTTACTGATAGAATCGGCACCTCTTTAACCTCTTCTGATAGTTACCATGAAGGTCATGCATAAGCATGACCTGCTGTGATATGAGTAAAGTTACTGCCCAAATATGTTAACTTAACTTGTGTCTTACTTCGCCACGCCTATAATCGAGAAAATTCTACTACTGCACTAATTCGTGCACGTCGTCTGTTCCTAAATCTACAACGCATGTGTTCTGTATAACACAGGAGTCAAATACTCCCATTGAGGGCTAATTTGCCAGGCAGTAGAGCCAGAGAATCTACCGATATGTTTGGTGCATTGGCCAAATCAGTGAGGCCGATAATTTTCTACTTCGCTGAAAAACGATTCCACTTCTCCATGCAGAAGAAGTGCGAGGATCCACCAAGGATCTTGCGAAGCACGCTTTTCATAGTAAGAGAATAAGAGAAGCACCTTCCCTGGAGATGAGCAGGAACGACAGCAGATGTGCGTTTGCAACCTGGACATGCTGGCGACTTCTGAGGAAATCAAAAAAGGAAATCATTCGCTACAATCAAAAATCGATGCACTAGAGGAGCTCTACACAAGCGAGAG